CACCAACCCTCCCCCTCAACCTCCCCCTCCCCGCCGCCCTCGCCGTGCCACGTTGATCCCGCGGTGTTGAATCTGCAAATTATCAAAAATAGATATGTGTACGTATATATATATATATATATACACCCGCATTTCCCTCCGCTCATATATCATACATAGCTATATATATCCCCCTCTCTATGTATATAGATGCACACATACGCCCTCGCTCTGCATGCACGCATGCATGCATAAATGCACGGGGGAGGGGGGCGGATTGTCTGCAGGTGTTAGGGATTTGGCCACGGATGTTTGACGGGTTTGGGCGTTAAGTCGGGGTGAGGATCGCGCGAGGTCGGATCTCGGTGCCGGGGCGTGAGCGTAGAGGTAAGGGCCTCGGGTGTCAAAGTGAGGTTTGGGATCAAGTGCCAAGGTCAGGTCTCGGGCCCCAGGTTCAGGAGCGAAGAAAAAAGTCTCGGGGATGGGTAAGGGGGCGGGGCAAGCATGCGCGCTAGGGGGAAGGTTAAAGCGTTGCATCCCACAGAGTCCTGGATCTTCTTGAAGTCCGTGTTCAACGAGGCCAAGCTCGCGGCGATGAAGGCGTGGGCCTGCGCGGCGGACTCCCCCATGGCGTACTTCCCGCGCCACGCCTCGATCGCGTCCCACCTGCCGAGCTTGAGGACGGCGACGGCCTCCTCCGAACTCAGAGAATTAGCGTCATATGCCTTGCGGATTAGCTCGGCGCGCTCGAACCAGCCGCAGCAGAACTTAACCGCCTCGAAGTCGACGTCGCTGCTGCCGTTGCTGCCGCTGCCAAGGCGCTCAAGGTTCTGGGGCGCCAGCTGCATCATCTCATATGCCTCACTGTGGCCCTGAGCCGTCTCTGCCCGAGGCTCGAACCATCGTTCGGCATCGGCGTGATGAGTTGCCCAATTCCCGATTGCGTGGCCCGCCAAGGCGCGCGCTGCGGCATCCAGCTCCATGAGGAGCTCGAGGTGCACCTCCACGGCCACGGCTTCCCCGGAGCCCGCCTCCTTGGACCACTTGGACCACTCGTCGAGCTTCTTGTAGTCGGAGAGCCCCACCGTCTCCTGCTGGAGGAGCGCGGCGACGGCTGCGGAGCCCTCGGCGGTCTTGGCCTCGAGCTTCAGGCGATCGGCGCTGCTATCGCGGACAGCCTTCGCATGTGCGACGATCAGTGAGCCGGCGCTGCTGAACTTGATCAGCACGTCGAGGACGCTAGCTGTGATGGACTCATGCTTCTCCTGGATGCCGTTGAGCAGCCTATCCACCTCTTCGCACTCCTTCACGCTGTCGAGCGTTGGCCGGCAGAGCAGGCGCATGCACCAGAGCTCATCAAACAACTCCGCCCCAACGAAGGTTTTGGCCGCATCTTCGGTGAATGGCTGAATCCTGGACCTCAGCGCGCTGAGGACCGCCGCAGTCCCCTCCCCTGATTTCTGCAAGCAACTCGCGAGCATGTCGCGGATGCGATCGCGCTGGAAGGGCCCCGGATTCTCGATGTCCTCGATGACGCCGCGACGGTGGAGCTTGAACTTGCAAAGCTCACTCGGGAAGCTAGGGCACTCGGCCACCTCCGACAGGACATCGTAGTGGACGCTCCAGATGTACGGGCAATCAATCGAGACGTCATCCTTGTCGGCGACAAAAGCCACCAGGCGGTTGAACCCGTCAATCCACTCAGCAAAAGCCTTCTGGTCCTGGGCGGCGCCCTTCAGCGAGGCGTGCAGCTTCCCGCAGGAGTCCATGACCTCGAAAATGTGCTTGGCTCTGGTGCACGCCGCCCTGGCCTCGCCATCCGCTGCCTCCTTCATCTCCTTCTCTGCCTTTGCGATCCAGCGCTTGACGCAGCGTTGGAGGACGGACCATTTAGAGTTGAAGTAATTCGAGGTCTCGTCGGCGGCCCTGAACTTGGGGTACTCGCGGTCGAGGACCACGGAACTGGGATCGGACTTCCTTCCTGCCTTACCCGGCGGATCTCCGCCACTGGCAGGCGGCTTCGGCGGCCTCGGCGTTCCCGACGGCTTCTGCGGGCCGCCAGACCGCCTGGGGAAGGGGGCAACGTAGACCACCTCAACTCGCCCACCCTCCCAGATGTCCTCAAAGCCCTCAGAAGCGAACCCCCTCAAGGCGCTCATCCTGGGCCCGATGGGGAAAGGGATTCCAGGAACCTCGCCAGAAAGGCCCGAGCATCTTTTGGGTGCACCTCCCATCAGCGCACTTACCTTGGGCTCCTCTGGGGGCCCTCCCAGGAGGCCCTAGAGGGCGCTTTCACTTGGGCCCTCTGAAAATCCTTTCGAGACCACGGGAAACGCCTACGGCCGCTCCAGCAGGGGGCAAGCGCGACGACGGCGCAAGGATGAAAGCCCAGGAGAACGGGGTCGACGAGACCAGTGAGACGACGGGGCGACCGAACAAGTTCAGACGAGCAGGGCGAGGAGGAGCAGGAGAATAACCAGGACTGGGAGAGCGGGCGAGGCAAGCGAGGAGGGAAACCTGAGGAGGGCTGGGGAGATGCCAAAACCCGAAGTTCCCTCCCCTCGCAGCCTTGCGCTGCCAGTGTTCTTCTGGGTCGCGCGGCCAGCGCGGCCCGTGGACGCGCGCGTCGGCTGATCGTCGCAGTCGACCACGCCCCACTTCCTCGACCTCGTCACGGAGGGCCCCGCGGCTGGCTCCTGGCCCCCACCTGTGAGAAGACGCCCCCGCCCGAACCGCCACTTGCCCCGTGCAGCCGCGCCCTCGCCGCTCGACCGCCACCGAGGGCAGACGAGAGTCGGCATAGCATATAACATAGCAGAACATGCCGCGCTACAAGGTACACGGAGTGACATAGCATAACACAGCATGACATAGCACATGAGGTACCATAGCATAGCACATAACACAGCATAGCAGCATAACATTACATATCCCACGAGCTCCCAGCGGGGTCGAATAACGAGTTACAATGAACAATGACCGCGCAGAGCAAGCGACGGGGCGAAGGCGGACGCGCCCTCCCCATCCACCTTCCTGCTGTACGGCATCCGCCTTCGAGGTGTTGGCCTCCCTGACCGCGGCCAGCATTTCCTCGAGGGTGCACGCCTTCTTGGTGATCTCGCTCAAGGCCTCCTCCTGCTGCTCTACCAGCTCCTGAAACTTGGTGTCGCACTCCTCCTCTGAGTCGTCGGTGTCCTCCTCCGCGAGAGTCTCCCTGTTGTCCAGCACCGTGGAATAACTTGTCTGGAGCTTCCAGGGGGTGCCCTTGGGGGCTGGCATGACGACCACGTCCTTCCCGTTGATCGTTGCCCTGCGGTGGCCTAGTTTTTTCTGAAGGGTCTGACTCACATTATCCTGGTATTCGTCCCATGGGAGGACATCTGGAGCGGGCGGCAAGAGGGAGTCCTTCTTCATCTGGTGGCGCGTCAGGCGCTTGGCGGGGCCCGAGGGCGCCGCATTGCTCTTCCTCCACGTGCCCTTCTGGAACTTGCGCTTGCCGCGCTCCACCGTGACCGCCCGATGGCCCATGAAGGTGTCCATGAACGCCTTGCTATCTTTGATATTCTTGGCGCAGTCCTCGCGCGTCATGAGGTGCCTCATCTTCGAGCGGTACGTGGTGGCGCATATCTTATCTGCCAAACCCCCGTCGTCCTCGTACTCCCACTCGATCGTCTTAGTCGGGTCCACGGGGCACCTGGTTTTCCCGCAGATGGCACCACAGAGAAACATGCAGACCTTCTGCTTCCTCTGGGGAGGCTCCTCCTGCCGCTGCCCTGGCGACTCATCCCTGGCGCCGCGCTTCTGCTTGATCCGTGCCGGGGCCGTTGGCGGCTGAGCATCGGGCGGATTGGTCTTCCCGAAAAGCCCGAACCTGGCCACGCCGGGCAGCTTGCACCTCCCTGCCGACTTGGAAGACCCCGCCTTCCCGCTCCTCTTCTCGTCCATGGCTGCCGAGGGAGCTGGTCAAGTCGGAGTCTCAACGGGGCGACCTCCAGACAAAACTCGCTCGAACTTGAAAGGCTGAATGACCTTGGGATGGGTGGTCAGTGGGCCGACTCGGGCCAGCAGAGGGTGACCGAGGTGACCTGGGGGCCCAACCAGGGCCGGCGACGCCGCCCCTTCGACTGCCCCAGTCCCCTTCCACGCGCCCGCGGGCGTCTGGGTTGCTTCCGGAGCCCCCCGAACCTTCGGGACCGATCGAAAGGCCCTTGGAACCCATCGAAGAAACCGGATGGGGGCCCGCTTGGCAGTCCGCCCTCAAATGTTGGTGTCGGGGCGGGGGGGGGGACCTTCGGATCCCTCGGGACCTACATGGGCCCTCCAGCGGCCACCCAGGCCCTCCACCGGCCGCGACTTGCCCCAGGAGCGAAGTGTCGCATATGATATACGATGTCCCCCAGGCCCCAGGCCCCAGGCGCTTCGCATGTGCAGCCGAGGGCACGAGAAGGGAACATGGTACTGATGCTGGAAACGCTCCTGAGGCCCCCTCGCCCTACCTGAGGGCCGAGGGATCTCGCGGGGCCCCGAGAGAAACTCGAAGACCCTTCAGAAACTGTACATAAGGGGGGCACCTGTCGGAAACTGCGACGGGGCCGAATGCCATCAGCTCGGACTCGCCAGAAGAGGAAGAGGAAAAGGATGAGGGGGAAAAGTTATGGCGAAGGCGGCTTTTATTTCTTCCCGCTGCCCCCAGACGTCCTCGGCTGCCCCGTCGATCGCAACCGCTTGTCTGCTATTCGCAGGAAGCTTAACAATGCTGCGATGCGGCGATGCTATTGTGTCGGCTACCGCCCTCCCTCACCACCTCCTCCTCCTCCTTTTCCTCCCTCCGCCTCGTCCTCCTTCCCCTCCTCCGCGCCCTCGCCCTCCTCTTCAAAATCATCCTGGTCACCCTCATCCCGCCCTCCCCCTATCCTCCGCCTCCTGCTCCTCCTCCTCCCCCATCCCCTCCCTCCTCCCCCACCCCCCCCCTCCTCCCCTTCCCCGCTCCTCGCCCACTCGGACCGTCACCTAGCGGTGCTTCAAATCTCGGGCCCCTCGCTGCCAGAGTCGCTGACAGCGGGAAGGTCGGACTCCTCGTCAAGATCCGCGCCCTCATCCCTCTCGGATCCTGAGCTGATGACGACGTCGCCGTCAATGTCAACGTCCGAGTCGGGCGCGTCCACGGTGTCGCCGAGGCCCCTCGTGAAGCCGTCGAACCACAAGGTAGCCTTCGAAAACAGCGACGCGAAGAGGGGGGCCAATATGAAGCCTGACATCGCGTTCCCGGCCACATGGAACAACTCCGCGTTGCTCATGCGGAAGGTCGGCCCGAACATGAGATCCTGGTACATGTAGCCCTGTAAGTTCATCGCCTCCGCTCCGGTGAGATCCCGCTGCCTCTTTACCAGCCACGGCCTCCCCGTGCAGACGAGGCACGGCACCGGCGGCCCCACTCTCTGCCAGTCGAGGCGCGAATTGAGGTCGATGATCCTCTCGGAGCTCTCCTTCTTCAACTCGATGCGAGAGTCGCGGTACATGACGCACTCGGCAAACCGACGAGGCAAGTGGGCAACGACATCCTCTAAGCCCGCGTCCTTGTAGTTCGGGGGCCACTTGAGGCCCGCGGCGCTGAAGAGCTCCAAGTGCTCGTCCTCGTACTTCTGGTCCGCGCCCGCCTTGGCGCTGCCCTTCTTGTCCGCGGCCTCCGTTTTAGTCTGCATGCGGTGGGCGCGCCACTCCCTGACCTCCTCGTGGGAATCCGGGAGAAGGAAGCTCTCCAGCTTGCCGCCGATGCCAGCGAACGAGTGCAGCTGCTGGAACACCGACGGCAACCACGACTCCGCCGCGATCTGCCCCCGCTCCTCGGCCGTGAGATCCTTGGTCCTCAGCTCCCTCAAGTGGGCCAAGTGCCTGGAATGCCACGCGATCAAATAAATCCTGGTTCTCGACTGCGGGCTGAAGTCGCTCGCGTCCACCTTCTCCCACGTGACGACGTAGTTCAAGCGAGCCAGGAACTGGCACATGTACTCGATGTCCACGGCCTTCGTCTTGTCTGAATTCTCCCACAGGGCCAGCAGCGGGAGATGCCGTTCCACATACCCCATATACCCTTTCAGGGTGGTACCAGATTTCCCTGACCCCGACGCTGCACAGCCGTCCTCGCCAGCCCTGGTGCTGAAGTTCAAGCCCGAGAAGTTATCGCACTCGGTGCCGCCGATAAGCACGGTGACGCGCTGCACGGGCTTCAACTCCTGGCTCCTGACGTCGAAGGCCATGTCCTTGCCCATCTCGGCGATGTCCCCGAAGAGGTAGCGGGGGGCGTGGTGCCTCAGGATGAACTGCTGGGCCATCGGCGAGATATCGCAGCTGAACGCGTGGGCGATCGCCGGCCTGATGTTGAAGTTCGCCTCCCAGAAGTCGCACAGCTTCTGGGGCACGCACAGCGGCATGTCCGAGCCAGAGCAGACCGTGCCAACTGTTATGCCCTCCGCGCTCAGCCGCTCCAATGACTCCACGAGCGACACGGCCTGCTTCGCCCCCATCCGGGCGTGCACCTGCACGATGACATCAAAGAGAGTGTCGACCTGGGGGTGCCGCGACGCGCGAGGGCGGGGGGGGCTCCGAGGACCCCAAGACGATTCCCAGATGGCCCCAAGACGGCTCCCAAGAGGCCTCAAGAGGGCAAAAAACACAAAAAAACACATGTCACAAGGACACAAGGAGGGTTCCATATCAAGACCCTTCTTGTGTGTGGGTGTGATTTTTTTGAGAGGGAGGGGGGGAAAGGCTCTTGGGCCCCTCCTGGCCCCCTGTTGGGGCCCCATCGGGGGCCCTCCCGCCCTGTGCTGGCCCCCTCTTGAAACTCCAAGAGGGCCCCCGCGGGGGCTCCAAGACGGCCCCAAGAGGGCCCCAAGACGGACCCAAGAGCGCATGTCGCGCGCATGTCGTCGTCGTTCTGGGCCCCATGGCCACGACATGCGCGCGACATGCGCGATGAGAGCCCTCTTGAGGCCCTCCTGGCCCCCATCTTGGGGCCGGGGCCGCGCTTCCTTAGGGCCCTCTTGGGGGCCCAGCCCATAAGCACAAAAAAGCTCTTGCCCACTAAAGCTTTTTTGGGGCCAGAAACCTGATAGTGGGCAAGAGCGTTTCGGCGCGTTTTACATTGAAGCTCTCGGAGCACGGTCGGGGCCCTGGGGAAGGAGGAGAAGGAGGAGGAGCAGGAGGATGGGGGGGGCGACGGCGACGACGAAAAGGAGGAGGGGGAGGCCGGCCACCGCTTCCTCAGTGAGGGGGAAGAAGAAGAGGAAGTGGAGGGGGCGGACTAGGACGGCGAAGAGGAGGAAGAGCGGGGGGGCGGGGGTGGAGGGGGAGGAGGAGGCCGGGGGAGGAGGTGCAGGAGGAGAGAGGGAGGTCGAGGAGGGGGAGGGGGGGGGAATAGGGGGAGAGTTGGCGGCGGTGGACGGCCGGGCGCAGCGGGCGCTCGCCTCGGCAGGCACCCCCGCGTTGTCGAGAGCAACGTCCCATTGGAGACGTTGGATTTCGAACTCGACGTCCTCCAATCTTTCCCGAAGCCCCGCGATGTGGCCATGCGGGCGCGCACTCGAGAACTACGCCACTACGCCCAAGAAAGCCAGCTAGACGGGTTGGCCGAGGTGGGCGTGCGATCCGAAAGCTTCGCTGGCCCCCCATCCCCCCGCCCCCCTCTCCTCGGTCGCCCCCCAGTGCCTCGCACCTCCCCGAGCTCCCCCAGGTCACAGCTGGCGCGCTCGGCCCCTCCGCCGACCCTGCTGCCCCCTCGCGCCACCGCGAGGGGGCCGCATATCATGGTTGCACTGATGTATTAATGGATTTGCATTAATGGATTCATGGCGGTGCATTCGTGGATTCGTGGTTTTGAATTCTTGGATTCGTGGTCGGAGATTCCACCGGGCGATTCCACCGGCCCCTTTTGTGAGGATGTCTCAAGCGAAACGCCCCTGGTGGAATTTCTACCGGGCGATTCCACCGGGCCAACCACGAATGCCATTAATTGCCAACCACGAATACCATGAATGCCAACCGCTAATACCATTAATACACATCTCGAGCCAACCTGCGTGGGCTGCTCGGGCGGCTGCGGGGCTGCCGCGGGCGCAGCCTCGGCCTCGGGCGCCTTCGCGGCCGCCTCGGTCTTGTTTTCGGGCGAGAAGAGCGCCGCGGCCAGCTCCAGCCGAGGGGGCCGCGAGCACGGCTCCGAGCCCGGCGCCTGCAGGAAGGGGGCAGGGCCGACGACGGGGTCGGGGCGGGCAGGGGCGGGGGCGCGGCGCAGGGATACTGCAAGGACGGGGCGCGCAAGCCCGAGTGGCAGGCAAGGCGGGGGGTAAAGGGGGGGCGCGACTCCCATGGAAGGGCATAGTCTGTGAATGCAAACGCTGATAAGAATGATGATGCCACGGTGCACTGAGATGTTGAAAATATGAGCTGCGATGCTGCGCGCTGCCATGTCATGCTCCAAGGAGGCGCGCGAGCGCCATGATGGCCTCGCGATGCACGCTCAAGCTGCGCTAAGTGATGAGATCGCAATGCTGCGCGGAGATGTGGGGCGCGAAGCGCTTGCTCAAGATGGCGGCGCACGATGCGACTCTACAATGGCAAAGGCTGCGCTGTGCTGCGAGATCATGGCGCGCAACGCCACGCAAGGTCGTGCAATGCGCTCGCACATCGCGCCGCGCGGCGCGCGTGTCCGGCTATGTGCTACGAGCTGCTATGGGCTATGGGCGATACGATTGCTATGCTCCACTGCGTCAGTCTCCGCTCTGTGCCCGAAACCGCCCTCCCGCGCCCCACCCCCCGCCCCGGCCTCGATCGGGACGATCTCGCGGGCCGCGGGGCAGGGCGCGCCCGCGCCGAAGAACGCGTCGGGGGGCGTGTCGAACTGCACGAGCTGCGACGACGACAGCTGCGGCGACGCCGCCGCCGCGGGCCCCTCGGGCTCCGCAGACTCCGCGACGGGCGGAGGCGGCGAGCCAGCCTCCAGGGGCGGAAGGGGCGTTAACAGGAGGAGGAGGAGGAGGATGGGGGGGGCTCAGGGAATGAGGGGGCAGTGGGGGCCTCCCCATTCGGGAACGGGCAGAGATCGGACCACCCGTCCGAATCGGAATAAGCCTCGGGGGAAGCGGGGCGACCACGCACAGAGGCATCCGGGGACACCGTCCAATCATGATGACTGGCGAGGGGGCCCATGGGGGGGTACCGCCACCGCCCGCCCGAGGACGGGGTCAAAGGACCTCCTGGGAGCCCTCCGAGAATTTCGAGGCCCTCGGATGACCGCGGACAAGCTTCCAGGGACACTGCCAGCAACGTTCCCATGGGCAGAGGGGTATGGACAAGCGGAATATATCCAGGTCAACCAGGATATATATATATATATATATATACACACACTTCAGAAGGGGGCGCGTAGATGGATGGGCGGGGCCGGAGTAGGGGGGGAAGGTGGAGCGGGGCCGAACGTGAAAGGGGGATGACGCGGGGCGAGGATGGTGGAAATTGGAGACACGGGAGAGCGGATGGCGAGAAATGGTGCCGCCTGCGGCGGCGGAGCTGGCCCCGTGGGCGTCGGCGGCAACGGGGTCCCCGCGCCGCCGCCCGTCGTTGGGGGCGGCGTTGCCGGCGCCGGCTCCACCGAGGGAGAGGGGAAGGAGGATGGGGATGGGGGAGGAAGCGGAGGGGGATGGGATGGGGGAGGTGGAGAAGGGGGAAGGGGAGGAGGAGGAGGAGGAGGAGGAGGGGGAGGAGGAAGAGGAGTACCAAGGCGAAGAGGTTGACGAGAGGAATGATAGAGGGGAACATGAGCAGGAGGAGGCCAGTGAATCGGATGCGCCCCGCCGAAACCGACGCCCAGACACTGAGATATTCGGAAACCTGGACGCCCAGACACCCAGAACCCCAGAATCCCCAAAAACTAACACTCGGAAACCCACAGCAAAACGCCCAGACACACGTCGAGACCCCCAGAAACGCTGACTTCCAAATCACTGAAACCTGAAACCCAGACCCCTACCTCCTGCATCCTATTTCTCCGCCTCCACACGGTCCTCCGGCTCCTCCTCGGACGTTGTGACGAGCTCGTCCACCCACTTCCCATGCTTGTATTTTGCCCACGGCTTCCCCGCCAACTCCCCCTGCTCATACCTCAATCCCTCGAGCCGCGCATCTATGATCTTCTGGTCCCTCATACGGTACTTCCTCTCCCGCCTCCTGATCAGGAACTCCTCGAGCCCGCCCTCCCCCTCGTCCTCCTCGGAGGCCGCATGCGAGAACCCACGGCCACGACCGCGACGACGACTCCGACGAGGGCGACGACCGCGACCGCGACGGCGACCACGACGACACCCCCAAGAATCCCAGACACCCAAAAAGTCTAGGCGTCCAAACCTTAAGAAATCCAAACGCCCCGACACCTAAACTCCGACTCCGACGAAGACGACGACGAAGGCCTCGCGCTCTGCCAGCGGCTCCGCCGCCGCCTGCGCCCCCTCAGGCGCCGCCGCCTGGGTCACCTCGCCCGGCGCCGGCGCCGCTGGCTTCGCCTCCGGGGCGGGCGGAGAAGGCAGAGAGGAAGAATATGATGGGGGAGGTGGAGGAGGGGGGAGGACGATGGGGTAGGACAAAGACGCGGCAGGAACGCCTTCGAAACCTTCGGCCTACGCACCCGGCGCACTCCCCCGTCGAGGGCGACCAGTGCCGAGGTCGCAGAAGCTTTCCTGCCACTCCTCCCGCTCGGACGACTCATCACCGTCCGCGACGCCCCCGACCGTTCGAAGAGGAGGAAGGGGAGGAGTGGGGAGGGAGGCGGGCGGGGAGGAGGCGAGGAAGGCTGAAACGGCAAGGGGAGGCGGGGGAGTGGGGGGTAGCACAAGGAGAGAGGGCGGGGAGGCGGAGGAGGGGGAAGAGGTGGAGGGGAGGAAGGAGAGGTGAGCGGGGGGAGAAGGACGGGCCTCGGCCGCGGCCGAGCTCGAGGGCCCCAGGTCGTCGTTGTTGTGGGCCGCCTGCGAGGGCAGGACGGGCGCGGTCAGTCTGCTGCTCCCGCTGCTCCTGCTCCTGCTGTTGCCGCTGCTGCTGCCTTCCCTCCTCCGCCTCCACCTCCTCCCCCGCCCTCTCCTCCTCCTCAACCTCCTCCCCCACCCTGCTCCTCCTCCTCCTCCTCCTCCTCCTCCTCCCCCTCCTCCTCCTCCTCCTCCACCCCCGGGGGCGGGGGGGGCAGATCGGGGGAGGGGGATGGGCCATGGGGCCATGGGGGGAGTGGGGAGGGGCGGGGGAGAAGGAGGAGGTGGATAAGGTAAAACAGGAAAAGCGGGGTGCCCGCCTCCAACCCCAACATGTCCTCGTGCAGGAAGCACTGGGGCAGCGGCGGCTGCGAGTCCGACGCGCCCTCGAGCGGCGCCAGCGGCGGCGGGTCGTCGGCCTCGAATGGGCCGAAGGGCGGCGGCGGAGAAGGGAGGAAGGAGAAGAAGAAGAGGGGAAGGGGGAAGGGGAGGGCGAGGGAGAGGATGGGGAGGTGGCTGGAGGAGAAGGAGGAAGAAAAAAAGAGAGGAGGAGGAAA